AAAAGGGAAATAAATAAGACAGAAAAATGTCATAATGACGCTATATAAACCTATGGTGCACCTACACCTTAAATACTGTGTCCATTTCTGGGTGCCATCTCAAAAAGAATAAAGTGGAACTGGAAAAGCTTCAGAGAAGGGCAACAAAGATGGTCAAGGGTATGGAACGGCTTCTGTATGAGCAGAGTCTAAAAACCTTAGGACTGTTCATCTTAGAAAAGAGATGACTAAGGGGGGATATGATAGAGGTCTATAAAATCATGAATGGTGTGGAAAGAGTGAATAGGGAAGTGCTATTTGCCCTTTCACACAATACAAAAGCCAAGGTCACCTGATGAAATTAATAGGCAGCGGGTTTAATACAAACAAGAGGAAGCACTTTTTCACACAACGCACACCTAACCTGTGGAACTCATCACCATGGGACATTGTCATGACCAAAAGTATAACTGGGTTCAAAAAGAACTGGATAAGTTCATGGAGGATAGGCCCATTGATGGCAATTAGCCCAGATAGTAAGGGATGCAACCTAATATTCGGGGCAACTGTGAGCCTCTGACTACAAGAAGGCAGGAGTGGAAGAGGGGATGGATCACTCTATAATCGTCCTTTCTGTACACTTTTTGCAAGGATGATTTTGGATTTTCCTTGCTGCAGTGAATCCTGTGCTATTCAGTAGGAAGAGAAGAAACTCCAACTCAAAAAAGCTAAATAGATACAAGTAGGTGCTTAGAATATGAGGTGTACCCTGTGTCTATTTTTCATTAGATAACTCCTCCGCTCCACTCCTTTTTGCACAGGTTGTCTGCATTATCATCTCTGGCCTCCTTTCCGCTATGGTTTCAGTCTCCTTTTCCCAGGCTTGGCTTCACTACGCCGCTAAATCAGCCCCGCTGTGATTGATGCAGCTGGGGCGATTTAGCACGTCTGGTGAAGACGCTACATTGACAGGCGCGCACTCTCTTGTCATTGTAATTAATCCACCTCCATGAGAGGCGGAAGGTATATCAGCGGGAGCGCATCTCCCACCGACGTCACACAGTGTAGATACTGCGTTAAGTAGATGTGAGTTATGTCGCCCGGGGGTGTGTGTTTTTTTCACATCCCTGAGTGACATAACTTACATCGATGTAAGCAGTAGTGTAGACAAGCCACCCGACCCTCCACCTCCAAAAGGATTTGCCCAGGAATTCTTAATAGCATCATTCTTAACTTGTATAAAGTTTCCTGTTTTTCACCTTTACAATCATGCATAAGCCAAATTCTCCCTCACTTACACCTGTGCAAGTCTACTGAGTTAAGCACTACCTCTTCATCTCCATCTGCCTTGCTGACACTGCTCAGTCCCATTCTAGTGAACGAACCTGAACTATCAGCATTCCTAAATCCACTGTCAATGTATTATCAAAGTGCTGATGCTATGCAAAATTAGAGCACAATACATTTTTATTAAACATTAAGAAATTGATTGACCTCATGTGCTTTTCGCTCTGTTTAGAAAGGCAGTAGGTCAAATTAGATCAGGTAAAACTCTAGTAAGTATGTTTTAAGAGGAAATAATTGGGGATTTTTGAGAGCTTTTTTGGGAAAAAAAATCTGGTTTTGTTTTAAGAAAAAGCCTTTTTTTTTTTTAGTTTTTGCGTTCCTTTCTTTCCCTTTCCCCTTTTTTCAGTTATAAAAAGGGAAAGGGGTAATGAATTTGGATACAACTGTATGGTATCCAAAAAACCACACAAACAATAGTGGTATAAAAGCTTCTAGCAGATCTACATTCTACGTATGTTTGGTTTATCTTGTAGAACACAATAGCAGGGATATAATTCTCTATTAAGTTCAGTAGGATAGTTGGGAAAAAAGAAAACTTGTGGAAAAGTTTTGCTGTTTTTTATCACGTTCTGCAGACCTTTTCCGTAATTATCCCAAACAACGTGTATTGCTCTTTCCTGGCTTTGCAGCAGCACTTGTCCATCAAATATTATTTCCAGAGCTGTGCTTTTTCCTGCTGATAATGCTAGTTTAGCAAACAAGCAGAATCATGTTGGTTTCTTATCCACCAGAATGATATATATACACACACACAATAGAAAATTAATCTGCCAACTGGAAAAGAAGTGTAGCTACAGCTGTGTCAGTCACAGGATATTAGAGAGACAATTGGTCCAATAAAAGATGTTATTTCTAAGTAAAAAAGGAGTGATGTGATAAGGGAAACCATTTCTCAAGCTTCAAAGAAGGTGCTACATGGAAACGTGTCAGGAAGAATGAAATCTAGGATTAAGATTTTCAAAAGTGGTTCAAAAGCAATTTTGGGGGTGTCAATTTTTGGATGCCAATTTGGGAAACTGTAAAAGGCCAGATTTTCAGAAACTGCTGAGCACTGGCCCTCTGAAAATCAAACAGTGAAGTACCCCAAATCACTAGTCACTTTTGAAAATGTCCACACTCATAAAAATAAGCTGACTGAATCTTCTAATATTGTCTCCTGATTCCTCACTATGGATTTCAGTTGCCAAACAATGCACAATACAGCACAGTCAAAACAGACAAGATACATGATGCAATGAACAGTTATACGCTGAGAAGTAATTTTCTAACAGTAACACCGTGCAGTTCTGTATTTACTCTCAGCCCTAAGCACAGTAAATGAGCTCTGCTTACAAGTCAAAGCATGATTATTTTTTTCTATCTGCTAGAACAATACGGGCCACGAGATCGAAAACTCTTGCTCTGTTCTCTCTGGCTCGTACATCATCACCAATAATATTCTGCAGTTGGAATGTAGCTGTCTAGGTTGTTGAAGGTGCAAAAAGAGAGAAGTGTCTTTACTAAGTGACTCAGCAGTTCTAGCCACGGAAATGAATATGGTCCAGCTACAAAATATTTATTCTATTTTATTGTTCAGTTTATAAAATGCACCTTTTTGCCATCTCTAGGCAAACTGATGGGCCTGAACTGAGTTATCCCGATGAGCGTTGCGGCTGGCGAGCTTTGACTTTGCCACCTCTAGGCAGATGCACAAAAACACGAAATAATAATATATTAACACAACCAGAGAAAGACATGTGTCAGTGCAAAAAGTCCCCCAAACTGTCATAAAAATTCCTTCCTTCCCATGCCACCTCCCTGGGCAAATGCCTTTGTAAATAAGTAGGCTTTGCAATCAAGAGAGCTGAGTTACGTCTGTGAGGTCAGGTTGGGAAACAAATTGCAGTCATGCGGCCTCCCCTGGAAAAGCTTTGCCACCTGACCCAAGAACTACAAATCTGTTAGCTGGAGCACCTCAGATGGTCTTAACCGCCAGAGGGTAAGAGAAAAGATGAAAGGGTTGGAAGAGCATCAAGGATCCCCAAAAGCCCTGAATCCAGCCAGGGGAGAATTCTCCTGATGCAGGGAATGAGAAAGCCAGCGACTGTTGTCTGAAGACCTCCTCTCAAATATTCATCTAGGGAGCATGCTGTGGGAGGGAGGGGCAAATTTGGGGTGGAGTTGCAGCATTGCAGAGATTTTGGACAGTCCCCGGAACCTGCCATAGCTTAGCCTCCCAGATTTGTCTAATCCATACTGGGGGCTGCTCTGGACCCCAGAGTACCCCAGCAGCTGGAGAGCACCAAGGCGGCTTAAGCCACCTTCCTAGCCCCCTTGCCTTTTGGTCTGCAATTTCTGTGCTGCATCTCTTAGAAGTGCAGCATAGACAGCCCAGGGTGGAGGAGGGGCCAGCTCCTCCACTTCAGGGGACCTATGCTGATTGACACCAGTGGAGAATGTGGTCTCTAAAACAGCCAGGACCCCAAATAATATATCATCTATACATCAAAACCAACCCCTTGATTTTTTCCCCCAGAAGCAAACAAGAAGAGAGCACTGGTGTAACAGGGTCCCTGGGGAAGCCCCACTAAGCAATCACATTGGGCTTCTGGGGGCTCGTTCATGCCACCGATGTAATCAGGGGCAAAGTGAAAAGTCCACCTGCAGGTGGGTTGCAGCAACACAAAGCATTCGTAAGCCCTGCTCCCTGCCACACGCTGCTCACCCAAATTGGGCGGGGCTTGCTGGGGCAGGGTACTTGATGCAACACATCCCTGGGACAGCCTTCATTGATGGAGACTCAGCCACAAGTTAAAGCTGTCTCCCCAGATAGAAGCCCCAAGGGGAAGCAGTGACACAGAAGCCACCTGTACACGCTATATAAAGTTGTTAGCCATTGGCTTCTTATAAATGTTCCCCCAACTTGCCCCAGTACTACCTTTCTTGCCAGCAGTGAGCACGCCTCCCAGGCACACATGGGAGGGTAATGAGTCCCTCCTCTTCCATGGGGCATAGCCGGAATCTCAAGGAGAAGGTGTGGTACTGTCGATACTGAATACGGCTGCCGTTTTTACTTGTATACTCCTCTGAGCGTAAGCACACTGACAAAGCGTGAGATACGTCCCAATGAGCAGAGCCGGTCATGCACACAGTTTCCCAAGGAATTCCCATGGTTTACAGGAAGCTAAACTGAAAAAAACACATTGTTGTCCGTGACCACTTTCTAATAATGAATCACATGTGGTTGCAGAGTTACACATGCCTTTAATTTGGGGCTGGTCAGACAACAACACAGACTTACAGCAATTTCTGTTTTATAAATTGATACCACTATTTAATTGTTTTCCATAATACCTACGGTCTGTTTCAATTAAGTATATTGTTCTTTTATTCTCTGTGCAGTATCTGACAGCAAAGTCACATGTATTTTTTTTTATGCATAAATGTTCTAATCACCTGCAGCCAGGTTGTTCCCCCTTTAACTTATCTGTGAATCAATACACCACAATTGCCCGCGGCAGCTAATGCATTTTATTTATGTTTTCGCTTTGATCAAAGAGCTGGTTTGCGCTGCATTTGCGTTTAGTTGCACCCACTTTCCATCTTTGTGCCATGTCTCGTGAAATGTGTTGAAACTGACCTACTTTGGCCTTTTCATGGTATTCTGAAAAAAATGCTAATCTTGTCATATTTAGCAGCTGCGTTCAGAAATGCTACTGTAAGCCCAAGAGGGCTAACCAGCACTCTTGCAAGATGTCAGAACTATCCACCATTACCCTGTAAGTGTACACAATCCCGTGACATTATTGTGTTTTTGTGAGGCATGTTGCAAATAAATGGTTTATATTAGCAGTGGGGCAGAAGGGAAACTGTTCATTATTTCTTGTTGCATGAGGATGATTTTGTTTTTGGTTTTGTTTTTTGTCGTGTGCTTCTGCTGATACATCACAATCAAGAATGTTAAGCTTATTTGTTTGAAATGTGTCAGTTTATTGACCAACGCGATTTATGATTATGAATAGCAGAATTAGGGATTAATCCAGAGCCTTTTGAAGTCAGTGGGAGTGTTTTTTTATTGAGTTCAGTTGATTTTTGAATCAGTGTGTAATATACCCACAAAGTCTTTATGAAAACGTTTAACAAACCTGCCCATTTTTAAAGAAAAAGTTATTAATCATTATGTAGCAAGGGAGTGCTATGCACATTGGAAAGAAAGTACTTTGCCTGAAACTTTGCTAGGAAAATATAAATGAAATATATGGACCAGATCAACAGCTGGTATATATTGGGATACCTCGACTGAAGTCAATGGAGCTACAGCAGTTTATGCCAGCTACGGATCTGGCCTAAAATGTATTTATGTATATTTGCTATGCTGTATGATGTACAGCCCAACTTTCACTGGAATTTCATGGTAAAGTCTTGTGATTTGAACCCTGCACTCTCAAAGATGGCCTGTCAAACTGATCTAAACACAATACAGCCTTTTGTCAAGGTCAGGGAAATTTCCCTTCTTAATGGTTGCACATTTTTTCCCTTTGCTTTCTAACCTATCCCATTTTAAGTCTGAAAATATATTTTTTCTAGTTTAGAGACTGGATCTCTTCTCAGGTTACTGACAAAAAGAGAGCAGAGGAGCTGCCCAAAAAGATTCAGCCAAAGAACTGATCCTGAATAAAAGCAAACAAAAGAAATAAAAAGTAGGAAAAGAAGAAGAAAATAATTGTTTTAAAAAAACCGGCAAAAGGTATTTGCTCAGTCCAGAGAAGGTAGTGATCTGAGAACGCCATAGAAACTGGAATCCGCATTTCTGAGCTAAAATAATTTTTAAGGATGAAATTCACTATTTAATTCTTAGGGAAATGGTGGACAGACCTAATGCCGAGCCTCTGCATAGTGGTGAATTTAATTCAGAGCAGTTGAAAGGTGGTAGATTGACAGCTGAAGTCTTCTAGCTACCATAATATAAACCCAGCACAGGCAGCGGGCAATGTTAGCTCTCCATATGCCATCCCTGTAACATACCTTCAGCGTGTTCATGAGGGCTGCTGTCTAGCTGTGACAGGTTAGTTTAGTATTCATGCCCATTCAGCTGGTAGGCTGAAGGCATTAAGTACTAGCATTCTTACTGACATGCCAAACAAGAGCGACGTAACCAGCTGCCCTGTTCGGTTTCAGAAGAGGCCCTGCAGATCTAAGTGGTCTGTTTTCCAGCCAGGCAGAGATAGGCAGGCCACTGACTGAATCCTCTACATTTCAAAGCTGTGGAAATATACAGAAAATGTCTCCATCCAGGAGATTGCTGAGTTCCCAAACAACCATACCCTCTCCATATCCACCCGTCTCAAATTTTGCCTTCATTGCTTGGTTTTTATTCAAACTTGCCAATGTCTCCAATAAATAGATGCTGATTTACTGAATATTCCAAAATACAAACACAAGCAGTGGAGCATAAACCAGCCATTTAATTATACACCTCTGCCCCGATATAACGCTGTCCTCGGGAGCCAAATAATCTTACCGTGTTATAGGTGAAACTGCATTATATTGAACTTGCTTTGATCCGCTGGAGTGCGCAGCCCCGCCCCCCCGGAGCACTGCTTTACTGCGTTCTATCCGAATTCATGTTATATCGGGTCGCGTTATATCGGGGTAGAGGTGTACCTGCAGCATCCCATTCCTCCATTACCTAGTGTACAAGTAGGTCCATAGCCCCTTATCCTCCTCTTTAAAATACAATTATCTCATCCTGAGCTTCTTGTACATATTCCAAATTAAACTAGAAACCAGTTTCAGCCTTTTTTTTTTCTTCAAAGGAGGGGTCCCAAATAGCATAATAACTATTATAGAAATCTTTTTCTAAGATTACAGCTTCAGAAATCCTTTGGCTCCATTGACAGCTTAACATAAGAATGACCACACTGGGTAGGACCACTGGTCCATATAGCCCAGCATCCTGTCTTCCGCCAGTGGCCAGTGTCAGCTGCTTCAGAGAAAGTGAACAGACAAGGGCAGTTATCGAGTGATCCATCCCCTATCTTCTAGTCCCAGCTTCTAGCCATCAGAGGTTTAGGAACACCCAAAGCAGGGGGTTGCATCCCTGACCATCTTGGCTAATAGCATTTACAGGCCTATTCCCCCATGAGCGTTTCTAATTCATTTTTTAACCCAGTTATACATTTGGCTTTCACATCATCCCCAGGCAGTGAGTTCCGTGGGTTGACTGGGCATTGTGTGACGTACTCCCATATATTAGTTTCAAATTTGCTGCCTATTAATTTCATTGGGTAACCCCTGGTTCTTGTGTTAGGTGAAGGATAAATAACACTTACCTTGTCCACCCCATTCATTATTTTGTAGACCTCTATCATATCCCGTCTTAATCATCTCTTTTCTAAGCTGATCAGTCCCAGGTTTTTTTTAATCTCTCCTCATATGGAAGCTGTTTCATATCCCTAATCATTTTTGTTGCCCTTCTCGTTAACTTTTCCAATTCTAGTATATCATTTTTGAGATGAGGTGACTTGAACTGCACATAGTTGGATGATTTAGTTGGGGTTTGTCCTGCTTTGAGCAGGGGGTTGGATTAGATGACCTCCTGAGGTCCCTTCCAACACTGATATTCTATGATTCTATGACAGTATTCAAGGTGTGGGCATCCCATGGATTTACATTAAGATCTTTTTGCTTTTATTATCTGTCCCTTTCTAATTGGTTCCTAACATTCTGTTAGCGCTTTTCTGTTAGCCCAGTCCCTGCCCCGTAGGCGCCAGCTCCGTGGGTGCTCCACGGCTGGAGCACCCATCGGGAAAAATGGTGGGTGCTTAACACCCACCAGAAGCCCCCCAATCAGCAGCCGCCCAGCACCTCCCTTCCGCCAGCGGGCCCTGCGGATCAGTGCCTCCCCATGCCGCCCTGTTTCGCGGCGCCCTGGAGGGGAGGAGCAAAGACACGGTGTGCTCGGGGGAAGGGACGGTACTGGGCGGGAAGACGCGGGGTGGGGATGGGGCATGGGGCAGAGCTGGGGATCGAACACCTCCCGGCACTTTGAAAAGTCGGCGCCTGTGCCCTGCCCCCTCCCACGCTCACCCCCCCCCCCACCGCTGCTCACCATGTCCCTTCTCTCCTCCACCCACCCCCCGTGAGGCTGCCCGCCATGTCTCTCCCCTCCTTCAGCCTCCTCCCCCGCGAGACGCCCCACATGCCTCCTCTCCTCCACCCCATCCAGTGAGACCCCCCCACTTGCCATTTACCACATCCCTTGTCTCCCCCAGTCCCACGAGACACCCTGCCCTCTGCTCACCATGTCTTTCTTCACATTCCTGCCCCCCACCCTCCGCATCCCTCCTCACCTCCCCCACCTCACGGTGCGTCCTTCCTCAGGCCCCGCCCTGTCAGACACCCCCCCCCCGCCTGCTGCTTGCCGCGGCCCTCCTTGCTGCTCGCTCCAGCACATCTATGGGGGCAAGGGAGTGAGGAGGGACACGGTGAGCAGTGGGGGGTCTCGTGGGGGTGGAGGAAAGGAGGGAAGCGGCGAGTGGCAGGTGGGGGATCTGGTGAGGGCGGGGAGTGAGGAGGGACTTGGTGAGTGGCGGGCAAGGGGGGGTTGTCAGGGTGGGGAGTGAGAAGGGACGCAGCGAGCGGTAAGGACCTCAGGAGATGGGGGCGTGGAGTGGAGGAGAGGAGGGATAAACTCACCAGGCAGTGGTGGGTGGTCAGGGCCTCAGGAAAGGGACGGAGCTGGGAGGAGATGAGGCAAAGTGCAGGGCCTAGAAGTCCAGCAGCGTGTCGGCGGCAGCTGTGCCATGGTTGGCTAAGCCTCCGCTGGCCTATTATATCCACCACCCATGATATCCACGATGACTCCAAGATCTCTTGTTTGAGTAGTAACAGCTAATTTAGTCCCCATCATTTTGTATGTGTAGTTGGGATAATTTTTTCCAATGTGTATTACTTTGCATTTATCAACGTTGAATTTCATCTACCATTTTGTTGCCCAATCACCCACTTTTGTGAGATCCCTTTGTAACTCTTTGCAGTCTGCTTTGGACTTAACTATCTTGAGTAATTTTGTATCATCTGCAAATTTTGCCGCCTCACTTTTTCCAGCTCATTTATGAATGTGTTGAATAGCACTGGTCCCAGTAGGGATCCTTGGGGGGCCCCCAAAGTTTTATAAGAAAGTCATCAAGAGAAGAGAACCAGGGACTCAGCAATAGGCCTCAATCAGTCTGTTCATAAATTGGAATAGTTGTCAATGTTGTCTCAATCTTAATATGCACAGAGTAGCATTGCCTTAATCTTATATATATGACAAGGGTGTAGTTCTGTTAGGTGGTCTCATGACCAGACTGGCACAAGCAGGCATAGTCCTGGGAACCATGACACAGACACAACTTCAGTAAGCAGAAAACATCTAGAGGAGAAGAGAGAGGCGGCTTTCAGCCTTCAGCTGCTGTTTTTTTCATGATTCCCTCTTTCCCAGAAGCAGGAAGAACAGATAAACCCCAGAGCTTCCTCACAGAATCCGTTCCAGAGTCACGGCCCTCCTCCCTTTGGGGGCTGTCTATGTGCCTGACAAGGAACGCTCACTCACCAAGCCTTCACAATCTCTCTCTCACCATTCTATCTGCCAGGATTTCTAAGTCACAAGATGTGTCTGTGTTGAATCTTATTAATTAAAGACGGAAGAAAACGTTTAGGACAGCTCGTCCTCCCTACTGGCAGTTGTTTCCTAAGGTGTGGTTCACTAATGCTTTATTTGTAATGATTTTCTTGTTTTTTTATTAACCCACAGAGGCTGGGATTTTCAGCAATGTCTAAGGGGGATGGGAGTTGGCTGCCTCCCTCCCTTAGGTGCTTTTGAAAAATTCCTGGTTAATTTTCCTGGTAATGTTTGTTTTGCATCTGCGGGTCTCTTCAGTACCTAAGCAATTATTTCAGTCAGAAAAAAAAAACACTTAGAAAGCTTCTCAAGACAAACTTTTCTGGAGTTATGATCTGCTTCTTAGAAGAACTGCACCACAACTATAAAGCATTTCTCCAAGTTCTACCTACCTATACATTCAACTTAGACAATCTGTAATAGTGCCACCTTGTGACTAATAAGAATGTTATTGTCAAATCCAGCCCTAAGCAATGGTGAGACAATTCTGCATTGAATTAGCTCTCGTGGTCAATATGTTCTTCTTATTTATATTCTGGCTTAATAATCATATTATTAATTTCAATCTTTTACTCCTAGTTCTTACCCTCTTGTATCACTCTACATAATTTCTCTATATCCATGTTTTTACATACTTCAAATACTTATAGACCGTTATCATTCCCCTATCCACCTATCCACCCAACCCCACTTAGTCATTGTTATGCATATTTGGTTATTTTGGGTGGAATTTTCAAAGCCATATAAGGTATTTCCTTTAGACTTAGATTTATGATTAGAAATTAATGGTCATTTAAATATTTTGATAGCTTTGAAAACCTCTCTATTGTTTCCTTAGAACTCAGTTCCAGATCACAGCACACACACACAAAATGTCTGTTTTTCTCAAATTAAGGTGTTTATTTTCCCAACCACACATAGTTTTGATTAAAACAAAGACCAATCATGTGTTTTAAAATCTTGTTTAAAATGTAAAATATTAATAGGGTAGAATATTCAATACAAATCACTGGAACGGGGACTAAATTAATCTAACATAGTTGATCTTTTCCATCTTTGATTCATGCAGACCTATGCCCCCAGCAATGCAAATGGGCTTCAGCAACCTCTCACCAAACAAGCCCATTAGTGCAAATGAAAGATTCCTTATAGAGGACAAAGTTATGGAACTTTCCTCTTTGTTATTTCTTCCCTTCTATTGTAAATGTATCTCACTTAGGGCATTAGAATTCAGGTTGGTTGAGGCAACCTCATCAATCAGGAGACGAAGAAAAAGAAAAGGAAAAAATGAATCCATGTTTTTTTCACAATAAAACTCCATTGCTACTCTGACTCCCAGTCACACTATAAAAGCGAGAGAACCCATCCCTGAAACTGTGATAATAAAGTCTCTCATTTTTAAGGCTTTCATTGAAGACAGCCATCAAAACAATAGATGTTCTGCCTTGTTCATTGTCTAACAGGGCATTTTAACTCTGGTATTTTTAGGGGTGTTTGACTGTAGCCAGGAGTTTAGTCGCATTTCTTAGAGGCTGTGTCCCTTCCAAACAGCCAAGTAATGTTTGGTTGGCTAGCTAGTGTTTCTGCAACTTCAGTAGCATGTCTATTAAGTTCTGTAGCCATGAATGTAAATGGAGGCAGTACGTTGTTACAGTCTTGCTTCCATCACTGCTTCTGCTTTCATTTTTCTTTCCTGCTGCTGCTCCCGATAAAATAACAGGAATCATCACTTCATCCTCAACAGACTCTTTCTGCCCGTTGCAGGGTGACTACCCACCATCGTGTTGCCAAGCCTTCTCATTCAGAAACAGCTATAGAGAGCTGCAAAAATTGCACCTGGATACAAATTTCTGCTCAATCCAGGGGATGTTCAGAACTGGTTTGGGTTTAGTTTATTATAGCGATAGGGCCAGCTGTGAAATTGAGATTTGTGTGCAAACTTCCCCAAGTTCATGGGTATTGAGATCCCAGGTTTTGGCTGTGACCCATCTGCAGATGTGATAGCTGGCTGCCAATACTGGATAACATCTACGGATAGCTTTTGTTTCATCAGTTGTTTTAATTTTGTGTTTGTTGGCTTTTGGTTTCCTCGCCAGCAGTTTTGTTACATACAAGATCTGCACAGTATATAAATTCTAGGGATCTCAGTTCCTTAAAGATGGAGGTTGTTAATGCCCTTCTCCAATGTCCTTTTGTGACATGGCCAGTCTATTGCACCAGATACTTCAAGTTGTCTTTCATCTAGGCTTGCTCTTTCGTTCATTTCTGTTTGTTTTCTTTGCCTTTGTGCAATATGAAGCATTGATCCATCACATTGCAAAGTGCATTTGTTAGTTCATGTGTTTTCTCGATAGCAGTAATGGAAGCACAATTATGAAAGCACATGACCTCATTTTTTAAAAGAGTGAGGAAACTTGTTCTGTTTAAAGCATGATTTTATTTAGTATTTCAAAAAGTCTCATCAACCAGCTTAGAGCCTTTGTTTTAACATCCTGGTTCAGGAATAGCATGCTTCAGTCAGACGAGACAGACTCCTTAACAACATCTAATTCTTTTATACCCATTACAATCTCCTTTTCTAACTTGTTACGAGCCAATTTTTGATCTTCTATAAACCTGTGTGTGTATAAAACACTTCTTTCTTAGTGATCACTGTGCATGTATTTCCTTCAAGGTTTTCACGGGGTTAATTAAAGACAGTATCCTCCAATCCTGAGATGGCATTGCAGTTATAGATTCTGAGATTTTAAAGCCAATGGGGACCATTTTGATCAACTAATCACACCTCTGGTTAGAGCAGGTCATAGAAATTCACCCCAGGCATTCCTGCATTGAACCCAGTAACTTGTGGCTGAATTAGAGCATGCCATTTCCATCCATTGTGAAACAATGTACTTTCCAGTCAAGCTGGGTTTTTTTAAAACACCTTGTCTAAAGTGATGGATTTTGGAGAGAGGTATCTCCTTGTCTAGGCTTGATCTCTTCTCATTTCATGGCGAGCTTAAATATTGTAGTGTCAAATGGGTTTGAAGATTCTGTTAGCCTGCTCTCTCTTCTTCCAGTGCTTCTGTCACTTCTCTTATCCTCTATGATATTTTTGTAGTCCATAAATGCTGCATACTGCAGTTTATGATAGATAGATACCTATCTCATAGAGCTGGAAGGGACTCTGAAAGGTCATTGAGTCCAGCCCCCTGCCTTCACTAGCAGGACCAAGTATTGATTTTTGCCCCAGATCCTTAAGTGGCCCCCTCAAGGATTGAGCTCACAACCCGGGGTTTAGCAGGCTAATGCTCAAACCACTGAGCTATACTTCCCCCCTTAAATGTTTAGCAGCCTCCTCATTAATTTGATCCATTGTAGTGAATTGACTGATGAATCCTGTATACTCTCATAGCCTGTTGACGACCCGTACTTTGGCTGGCTCAAGCCGTGTCAGACAAAGGGGAATGCTGCAGAGGATGGGGAGGGGATACTGCCAAGAATACTGCCAGCAATGAGCCAGTGTCATATTTTCGCGGTGGCATTCGGTATAGCCATGTCAGCACTGCCTATGAAATAATTGCGGGGAGTTCTTCCAGAGCTCGGCCAGGGCCTCTTTCTTTCGCTATTCCCACCCGTATGCCAGCTCGTTTTAAGGGAAATGTTCAAGTGTCCCCATCAGACGTCTCTCAGCCACTCATCTTTCTACTGGAGGAAATTAACCTTTGCAATTCAGAAGTTATTCTTTGTGACCGCTATACCCGCTTTGTTTGCAGATAGGCATTCAGTTGGCTTGTTCCTTTTGTGTGCTTACCCATAAAAATTCAACTTGTATTGTAGCTGAAAGCAAGAGATGGTTTCTCATGGTGGCAAGCTGCCTCACCAAGCATAGACTTGCTTAATTAGGGCTTGACTGATGCACAGACATTGTGCTGGCCTTCTATGTAGCGTGAATTTCATCCAGATAGAATCAATTGATCACTAGTATATCTTTAGTTCCCAGCATTCTTGTCTAGACCCACTGGGCTCGATTTTCCTCTCACACTATTTTACATCGGTGCAACATAGTTGACTTCAATGGAGTTACACATGATTTCCACCAGTGTAAATGAAAGCAGAATCAGGCCCCTGAGCAGTAGAGTCATGATTGCATAATACAATGGAGACCTCTTCTCTTTCAAGAAGAGGTGAACACACAGAGAGGAGATTCTGGGTGCTGCATATAAAGAAGGCAATCAGGTGGTGCTATTGTTCTTTATTTTATTTGTATTATGGTAGCACTCAGAGACCACTGCTAAGATCAAAGCCCCATTGTGTTTGGTACTGTACATATCCCTAGTAAGAGACAGTCCCTGTCCAGAAGAACATGCAAGCAAAATAAGAGAATACGATAGTCCACAGTTCTAAACTATTGATACATATTCATACTCAGACTGTACCAAGTGTCAGAAAATGGGGGCAGAATAAAATGGGGGTAAAATCAGGGGATGGGAACGAATGGGCAAATTTTATATATATTATTTTTATTTATTATTATTTTTTGCAAATGGAACACCACGAAAAGTTAATCGAAGCTCAAGTTGTCCCTGCAAAGATATATTAACATTCTTTCAATTTGTCGTAACAGGAGGCTGGCCCGCTCCACTCTGCTGCTTATCCCCTTGTTTGGAATTCACTACACAGTGTTTGCCTTTTCTCCTGAAAATGTCAGTAAACGGGAGAGACTAGTGTTTGAATTGGGACTGGGATCTTTCCAGGTGATTATACCATGAATTCTGCTTTTTTTTAAAGAAAGAAAGAAAGAAAGAAAGAAAGAAAGAACTCTGTATTTGTTATGACAGCTGTGCATGGATCTGTCTTTGACTGTGTGTTCATTCACTTACTGTATGTGCTTTGTAGACTAGCAGTTCTTCCCCCCCCCCCCCCCCCCATTTTCTATCAGTTCCTTTTAATTTAAGGTCTTTTCTCTCCTGTTTATCCAGGGCTTTGTCGTTGCTGTTCTCTATTGTTTCTTGAATGGGGAGGTAAGATTTTTGATATTTTTACCTGTTCTCCCTCCGCCCCCATCTGTTTAGCATGACATTTGCTTGTGATCACACCTTCAAACCCACCTCTAGGGTGACCAGACAGCAAGTGTGAAAAATCGGGATGGGGGTGGGGGGGTCATAGGAGCCTATATAAGAAAAAGACGCAAAAATCAGGACTGTCCCTATCAAATCGGGACATCTGGTCACCCTACCCACCTCTCAGCTGTAATTCATTAGCTATCTACTCCTTGACTGCATCCAAATTTCAGACTGCCTTCAGCAAAGCAGGAAGCATGGTCTTTTAGTCAAAGCAGTGGGCTGGCAGTCAAATAGTTCTGGGTTCTGTTCCTGCCTTTGCCTCTGGCTTACCCTGTAACTGCTCAGAAAGTCACTGGGGACTCCTACTACCAGTGCAGGATTGGGTTCTGAATATCCTTATGTTACAGTGTAGCTGTAAAATGGGAATAATAATAATAATTCCATACTTTACCTAGGTGATTTGGAGCTGTTTTTATTACTGCTTGTAAAATGATTTGAGATCCTTGAATGGAAATAGGGGATTTTGCCTCTAAAGCTGCAACACAATATTTAATATTTATTTCCGATATTTTGCTGTGCGTAATATTTGCAGTTTCTTTACATTTTGTTAAATAACTTCGTCCTATTTTAAAGGGCACTTTCTCAATTTTGGCCTGTGGCACAGTGAGTGGAGAGGAATGAATTGCATTCATGGCCATGGCATTTATGATTCTTGCCTTTCAGATCCTGTAGATTTGATCCTAGATTTGACAGTTATTTTGTTTGCTATTAACCCAAATTGGTCTCTGGGGTTTGCAGTCCTTGTGGTTTTCCATATGAGTGCCATTTACTATGGATGTGGGGGGGAGAATTAAAAATATAGGGCCAAATCTTCACATGGTGTAAATCACCTTTTCTCAGTGGAGTGATGCTGATTTACATGATCTGATCTGGCCCTATGATGAAAGGCTGCTTGGGGGGAAATGATATATATATATAACTGGCCTTGACAAGGCACTGCTTACAGGGAAGTTTTAGGCAGTGTTCTGCACTTTTTTACATAGGCAAATCTACAGTAATTGTGCATGGGTGAAATCCCATTTCCATGCAATAAAACTATGCTCTAACTTTGTCTGTGCATCTCAGTCATGAATTAAGATTGAGGGATATATTGTCTAGTTGATGTGCAGCATCCTAATAATGCTTAGCATTTATAACGAGCTTTCCATCGTTACAGTTCCTAAAGCAGTGAGTTTCCCTTAGATAGAAGATTAGTTGCTAAGTTGTATTTACATCCCCATTGCAATTAGTGCCACATTAGGTGAGTGTACCCTACTCTGTACATGTCATATATACACCGAGTAAGTTCAGCGGGTGTCATGTGGTTAACAAAGAAGAGTTAAACCTACTTACTTGTTCATCTTCCAACTGTACCTGTCATAGCATGTCCTATTATTGTGCCATTTAGGTGACATACCAGGATGATGCTAGAAAGGGTAGCATACACACTTTCATATCTGCCTGCTGTCACCCCTTTGTGGGGAAATGATAGAGGAGAATGCAGTGTTTTCATTAGCCATACATCCACAAAAGGCGGATGGGGACAAGATGGGGATGAGATGTGTATGAAGCATATTCCATCTTGAATGGTTCGCCAAGGGCCCAATCCAAAGTCAATGCTAATCAAAGGGGAATCTTTCTATTGACTTCACTGGGTGGGGTGGTTCATGCCCAAGGAAAGATTAACTCAATAAATGCCAAATGCAATAGAGAGCAAAAAAGGCAAGCATGGTGATGCAGATTGTTTCCACTCATAAGGGAAAGACTCCAATCTGATTTGAGGATGGTAGGTCCACAAAGTTGCAGCCCATTGTTTCAGAACTGAAAAAAAAATATCACTGACCGTATCATCCCTCTGCTCTAGATATGGGGGTGAAATCCTGGCCACACTGAAGTCAATAGCAAAGTTCAACAAGGTCAGGATTTCACCTGGAGTATCCAAGCTAACCGCTAACTGCCTGGAGTTAGGAAGAAAGTACCCTTAAGGGCAGAGGAGTCCAAACTTGTCCATTACAGGATTTCATGGCTATGCTTCTGCTAAAGTATCTGGTATTAGCCGCTGTCATAGACAGGATACTGGACCAGAGTCATGACCCAGAGACTATGGGAGTCGGTGGGCTTAGGAACATTATTAATGTTATTGTTACATTTTTATTTATTATTTGTATTATCATAATGCCAAGCAATCCTAGTCACTGTGCTAGGTGCTGTACAAACACAGAAAAACAAAACAGTCCTGTCCCCAAAGAGCTTACCATCTCAGTGTAAGACAAGAGACAACAGATGGGGGAGTACAAGAAATCAACGAGACAGTAGTCAGCATGGTAGGCAGTGGACATGACAGGACCTCAATGCACCCCTGGTCTGATTCATGGTGGCAACTCATGTTCTCTGATGTCAGTGAGCATAGACTGAGTGTACAATAGGGTTGCATTGCATTTCCCCACTGCCTCCACCCCGTGCACATCTAGAATTCTCCCTAGAGTTCACTGAGGGGAGACGTTCAAGACGGGTCTTAAACAAGCATTGTTTATTTTTGAAACTTGATTGTCTGTCAGCATGCACCCGAGCGGCTAAGTACATAAAAAAATGACCTTTTAAAGTTTCTCCCTAAAGGTGCAATCAGAAATAAAGAGAAAATGGAGGAGCTGGAAAGTCAACCGGTATTTTGCTGTGGATTTCAAACATCGCCATCCCTCTCTGGCGAGCAGCGGAGTGAACGGGGGGACACAACTCTCCATTCTGAGCAAGAGCAGCTCTCAGATTCGGATGTCCAGCATAAATGCGGAGAATCTAGTGACATGAGCAACTAAATAACCCCTCCCCCGAATAAAACCCAAGACACCCCTTTAAAAAGAAAAAAAAATCATAATTTTGGTGGTGTGGGTTTTCTTTTTTAATGATTATTATTATGATTTTTTTAATGTAAGATGTGTCCAAAAGCATGAAACAAAACATCCCTGGCGTTTTGCAGAGAAGAAAAAAAGGATATTTTTTTAACGATCATTGTAAATACACCACTAAGATCCATGCCATTGACAAAAAAAATCAATAAAACGCCAAGCCCACCCCCACACACCCATTTAGAGCATCTGCAAGTAATCCATTGTCAGCCAAGTGTATCAAGTGATTGCTGTGCAGTTGTGAACATTGGTTGCCAAACTGATATAAATCTGTCTGTGCATGGACTTCATTGTTGTTATTTTGGGGGTCTGGGTTTGTTTGTTTTTTCTAATCCAATGCATCGTCACTATGCCTCATTCCCATCTTTGTTGTCTCAATATTCTCAGTCTCTTTGGAGTCTTAGGATATAGCTATAACGTTGGGATTAATAATGCCGGCCAGTTCACCAAGGACTCTGGAAATGGATTTCATGGCTGGATTTGGTCAGAAGAACTCAGCGGACTTAGAACATCTGCTGTGACTGTGTGAGACAGCATACCTGTCACCATTCTGGAGAGAGGAATCCATGCAGCAGAGATGGGGGTCTGCTATTTTAGGTTCTAGCTAAGCTGTGAATTTTCTAAGAGGGCCATCCATTTGAGAGAGATCTATATTTTTGGGGTTGATAGGTTAGAGTTTTGAGTAATGTGAACAAAGATTTCTCCCCCACTTCCCTTCCCCCCACTAAGAGGCAAAGGTCAGTTCCAGGATTCTCGCTTCCTCTGAATTACACTGAAACTCCTGCATCAATGTCTGATCATTGCACTGCGACTGGTAGTGGCATGACGTGTGTGTGTGACCTCTGCGACCAGGCTGGCATTGACAGTGTTAGGCCTCAAGTTTGCGAGCACAAGAGACTCAACAGGGGTCCAACATGGTGGTGCAGGAAGATTAATGTCCTCAGTGTCTGTAGAGCACCTAAGCTGAACAGTAAGACACTATGGAAGGGAATGATAAAGACTTTGGATGATTGACCATATCTGGCAGTTTCTTCTATCATTGGATCTTTTGTTTGTTCACCAACAGATATCATTAATGCCAATGTCAGAGAGACAAAAGAAAAAGTCCTTTCCAACTTTGCCTTGTAGTAGAGCCATGACTGGATACATATCTACTTCAGTCAAACATCAATGATGTCAATTATTTCTTGAGAGGTTTTATGTGGTGCATAAAGGCTTTAAGGACTGTATTTGCTTTTATTTCTTTGTGGATTTATATGTGAGTGTATTAAAAAACAAAATGACATTTAAATATGATGGTTTGCACTCAAACTAACAACAACCAGGGAATTCAAAATTATGGTTAGCTCTTTGTTCTTAATTGAAATGAAAAAGAAAATGGGGGGAAGATATAGACACAAAATTTTCCTGTCAGCAGAGATTTTGATTTCACTGGGCTTTGTTAGTTTAGTTCAAAACTTCTAATGCCATTTTAAATATAGTTTTTTTTTAAAAATAGTTTCCTTGTTTTTAAAAGGAAAAAGTAATGAAAAGTTATGAAAGAAGTATTAATTATAATACTTAACACTTAGTGCTTTATGGGACGTATTCTGCTCTTAGTTACAGCAGTGTAAATCTAAAATAATCCCAGTAGAGTTAGGGGTCAATCCTGCAATCCATTGATATGGATGGATCACTTAATGATTACCTGTTGTGTTCATTCCCTCTGAAGCACCTGGCATTGACCACTGTCGGAAGACAGAATACTAGGCTAGATGGACCTTTGGTCTGACCCGGTATGGCCGTTTTTATGTTCTTATGAAATAAATGGGAGTGCTGCCCTGACTACAGTGGGTGCAGGAGCAGAATTTATTCCAGATTCACACCACTATAAGGGTGAAATTCACTCCTGTACAGAAGACCAGTAAAAGGACTATGTACGGCTTAAATGTACTTTGAGGTCTTAAGTGGGATTTATATGATGTACAGGCTTTTTGCCAGTCCTCTGCATAGGGTTGACCCTAACCGAGAGTAGAATTTGGCCCCCTATGTTCCAGACGTTGTGCAAAAATTACGTAAGTACTTTTTAACTGATAGATTGGAAACTTTTCTCTCATCAGATGCTGTAAATAGCTATTTTAGCAAGTTTCCCAATGAATCATGTTCTTAAAGGACCAGAAAAGACACTGAAGAGGGAGAGGGGTAAAGTCAGATCTATCCGGTAAATATATACTTATAATTTTTTAAACAAAACTATCTAATATTAAATGAACAGATGAAATTTAGTTTTGTATTTTCTGTAGTATGGCCTTTCACGAGGTTAATACTGACAATACTGTAAGTGTATTCTAAAAAGAAATAATGGACAACGCATATTTTGCATGAATGGTGACTAGCCAATTTTCAGTCATTGATCACTATATTTAAAACTTGCCTCTGGTTGGAGGCCTTTTTTGTGCCACATTTCAATCCAGAGCAAGAGGTTTTTCTCTGGCAGTTCTAAAATCCTCTCCTATTTGAGTTGGTGGGTCTCAGTCCAGTGCCTTGTGGGCAAGAGTCCACATCACAAAACCACTCTTGCAATTGGCACACATTGGAGGCTAGAGCCTCAGCTGGTGTAAATCAGTGCAACATCATTGGTGTCCATGCAACTACGTCGGTTTACCTCAGCCGAGGATCTGGCATGGGTCCATTATTATTTTTGAAAGTCTCAGCAAGAGAGGCCAAGGGCTGAAGGTCCTGGAGACTGAATTCTCCTCTTGATTCTTAGAGGCCAAACTCAGGATTGAGGCAGGTTGATGGGATGTTGTGTTGGAAGCTTCCACACTACATGCTGTACTTGTTCAGTAGACCAGTAGTTCTCAACCTGCGGGCTGCTTGTGGCCCAATCAGCACACAGCTGCGGCCCATGTAACATCCTCAGGGCCATACAGGTAGTATATATACTGTGTGGATGCAGCCCACATAACACAGAGAGAGCTTCATATGCGGCCCACAATGGTAAATAGGTTGAGAACCACTACAGCAGACCGACAGAGGACTTCAGTCTTTGAGATTTTCCATCCAGTATCATTCACCAGCAATGAATTTACTAAAAGTTGTAGCTCTCTATATACTTAATATATTCTATAAAGTACAGGCAAATCCCTTCTAGTGGGATTTTTTACTGGAAGTGCTGACCACTCTTACAGGGTGGCATTCATGTGGCCACTCTAATGTTCAGTGTTACTCGAAAGATCATACTTCAGGTATATATAGAGAAACCAGTAGTTATCTAAACAAAGATTCTAATGCCATTGCACAAAATATGCTCTTGGGTAGCTTTATGTCGAATGTAAATTGAAGATGCTAGATGTGCGTGTCACCACTTCTGGTGACCATCATAACTAAGCGTCAAGATAGAAGGAACCAAAAGGAAGAATTGCTTCAAAGCGTGTGTAAATATCTATTCGCGTGTAACAGTGTTTGTTTTATTTCTACTGTGAAATATATTTTGGAGTTAGAAAGTACATGTTATTAAAACAAAATGTAATTTAAAAAATGTGTGCTATGCTCCTTGAGCCATTTTTATAATATGCCAATAATACACTTCCTGTCTAACTTTCTTATTTGGCTTTTGTAAATGTACAAAATCTTCTGTACTGCAGCTTTTGTGGGCCTGTAGCGCATAGAGCTACTGTTTCATTGTCTACCATTGAATGGGGAGATCTGCTACGAGATGTATTTTAAAATCCTGAAAGAAATACTGTGTAAGAGAGGTGTGATTTTTTCAGTGGTGTTGGGCACCCTTATCTCCCTTGGACTTTATTTGGATTTGTGGGTGCTCAGCACTTCTGAAAATCAGACCCTGGGTGCCAAAATCTAGGCACCTCAATAAAAGACGCCTGAATTTCAGAGGCACTAAGGGTGAAAAATCCGTCCGCTTTGCCTAAATTAAGTACTCATGTTTGAAAAAATTAAGCTTAAGATTTTAATGGCGCAATATCAGTGATGTTCAGGAAAGACTCTCGCTTTTCTTTTTAGTCTGTGGCAGACGATTCCCATTGGATATGGAGGTCTAATGGAAGTTACCTAGTTACTGTAGTAGGTTCAGAGAAGAACAACCCAAGTAGATCAGTCCCGAAGTTGTTTCTGTGATACAGTGTATGAGAAACCGTGTCCCTACAGTACTGGCGCAAAGAACTAATTGCATGCAGCACTGTTAATACAGTGTTATGGGCCATTATTTTCTAAGGGACCAGTCATCAAAGGTGCTGAGTGGTGTTCAGCAGTTTGCAGGATCCTAATATTTATTTTTTTCTACAAGGGCTTTACCAGAACACTAAAACCAATGGACAACATGAAGTAGGCTAGGGTTTGCTTGGAAGATCCATGCCATGATTCCCACTGC